CCAAGCAGCGGGGAAGAGAAGAGACAGGAGCTTCCTTAGCAAAACGGGCCATGTCTGGACGGTCTCTGACAGCCCCGGAACACCCGGACGAGGGCCTATACAGAGCACCGCACAAGGACGACAGTTCTGCAGGTGACTAGCTATAGGGGGGCCTCTTCGAAGTGCACTGGGGACCTGGCACTGGCACTGGCTGGGTGCCCTGTCCCCTGTGCAGTGTCGGGGCAGGAGGACACCAGTGCTCTCGGAGAACCGGCACCTTTCGAAGACGCCACAGGGCCCAAAACAACAGCAGTACTAAACGCTTCCCCATTTTTTCTGTGCCCTCCTGAAATTCCACGTTAACTGCCCAAGTCCCGCCTGTTGGTCAGGTGAAGCACTGCTTTGCTTAAAAATGCGCACGGCCTGCGAGCCACTCCTAGAGTTTATCTGAAAGCCAGCGAAGAGTTACACACAGGGCGTGCAACCCGCGGCCTGCCCGGCCGGGCCCCACACCGACGGGCTCTGTCACTCAGCCTTTGGCTCATCCCTTAGCCACTCCGGCCTGCGGTCTCGCCCTGAATGTGGGCCCGGACAGCGCCCGCCTCGCAGGCCTGGCGCGAGGGTCCGCCGGGAAGATGCTCGGCAAGAAACCGGGCTCAGAGGAGGACCTCGGTGGACGTCTGCTGTCACCGTGATTCACAGCGAAAATGAGAGACAAGTGTGGAACAATAAAGGATTGGTAAAAAAAAATTAATATATATATCTATATGGCAGAGCCATATGGTTTCATATTCTGTAATTGCTAAAATGTTTTCTCGAAAATTATTTAAGAACATTGTAAAATTATCGTAAGTAAAAAAAAAAAAAAGGATGTTAAGATGGAGAGCAAGATGTTTCTAGTATATGGTCCCGACCTCACGATGGAACCAGGTGCACATGTTTCAAGGGCGGCCAGGAAATGTAACCAGAGGTAGCAGAGATCACAGTCACGCGCCAGGATCCAGTCCCTGAGCTTCTCGGCGGTTTCTCTCTCCCCCACCCCCCGGTTTTCTCCGATGACTGCGCCTTATTTCGAGGCCAGGACAAAGGGTCAGCTTGTGTGAGTGACGGGGAGGGGGGCCCTGGCGACAGGCAGAGACGAACCTTCCCTCCCGCCGGCTTGGGAAGCTGCAGCCAGGCCTTCTCCCTGGGGTCCAAGTCAGCTCTGCCTGGCCGCCCTCAGGGGCCTGGGGAGGGTGCTCAGAGGGTCGGCTCCGCAGTTCTGCCTCCCTGGGCCCCATGAAGACGAGGAGGGGAGCCGCGGTCCCAGGCTCGAGGAGCTCAGAGCCGGTCAGGAGACAGAACGGGAGACAGTGTGGCAGCGGCGGCGCCGCTGCCGAGGCACGTGCGTGGTGGGAATTACAGGAGCGCCTGGCCTGCGGAGGCAGGGGAGCCCCATGCGGGGGCAGGAAGGTGCGAGCATGCATGGCCCGAGGCAGGAGCTAAACGCCATTCACCGTGGCTGTTCCTGGTGCTTGAGGTGGTGGTGTTGCAGGTGGGCAGGGGGCCTTGCTCTCATGCTAAGGGGCCTGGATTTTATCCCGAAGCAGAAGAGAGCCACTGAAAGGGTTTGACTCGGGAAGAGACCTGCGGATGTGGCCTTCCGAAGTCCCCCTGGCTGTGGGTGGAAAGTGGGCTGCAGGGGCAGGTAAGGAGTCAGGGCGCCGGTGAGCAGCTGTTGCAGCAACGGAGACAAGAGCCAAGCCGAGCCCAGGGCCCAGACCGCAGCGGGGGTTCCCACCGCAATGGAAGACGCAGCAGAGCCCAGGAGCACTAGGCAGGAGGATCCGAGGGCTCGGTACTAACTAGATACGTGGGGACGAGAGGAGGACACGGGGTGCTCGGGTGGCACGTGCGTCGCGGCAGAGGATGCAGACGAGGAAGGTTGAGTCCCTGGGGCTGCTGAGTGCCAGACCTCGGTGTGAGGTCACAGCGCTGCCCACGGAGCTCTGGGGGCGGCAGCGGGGGCTGGGCTGCGAGTGCGCACCTGCCGAAGTCACTGCGCAGGTGAGCTCCCAGAGATAGTGGGTGAGACCGAGCGTCCAAGGTGGGGGAGGCCAGCGTGATGAAGGGAAAGGGGCCGCTCACAAGGGGGAAGAGCACTGAGAGGTGGAAATTTAGGGGAGACAGAGAGGTGTGTGCATCATGCAAGACAAGGGGCGAAAAGCAGGGGTTCCGGGAAGCACGCCCGCCGTTCAGTTCAGTACCGGGGTGCCGCTGGGGCCCTCTGCAGGAACCGTTCAGTGACCCCCCCGGGGCCACGCCCACGGGCCAGGGCCCAGCAGATTCTGGACACAAGTTCGCCAAGGGCAGAGTGGGAATGAAGGAGGCCGGGAGATAGGGTGCAGGGTGAGGCGTCAGAACGCAGTGGGTGAGGGATACCCCAGAGAGGAAGTGCACGCGGGTCTGGAGGTTGTGGGCGGGGCCCCAAGGTCAAAGCAAGCACTCATCCACTGGTGGGGTGGCCTCAGGCCCCCTGCCGGGGGGAGCTGGAACAGCAATAGGTTGCAGGCACCCCTAGGGAGTGTGGGGCATATGCTGAGAGACAGCGCCACCTCGTGGCAGGAGGCACTCACACCAGGCTTCTGCTCCCAGGCCTTTGGGGGTCTTGCGTGCTGGGGCCCCCTGCACTGGAAGCAGTGAGCCAGGGCTCTTGCCACCTGGGCAGCACTGGAGCCTCTGACAGCAGCGTGCCCTGTGGCATCAGTTGAGGTCGGCTCTGCCAACGGACAAGTAGGTAGACTAGAATTTTAGCTGACAGTCACTTGGACAGAAATGTAAGGTTCTGCCCTTGGGTTTATACCTGCACCAGACCAGTTGCTCTTTGGCTGTTCTTGTGTGTTTGTTTGTGGCACCTCCGGGCCCACAAAGAATAACAGCGTGCGCGTGAAGCTCTCCCAGGCTCAGCCGCCCGCCCCTCTCCAGCTCAGGGTCCACAGGGATTCATGGGGCTTTCATCAGAGCACGCCTTCCCGTGGGGTGGCGGTGCAGGTGAGGGGCAGCCTGCAAGGCACCCAGCAGTGGAGAACCGCACCTGCCACCGGCCTGCCCACGGGGGCTCCCCAGGCTCCAGGGTCAGCGCCAAAAGCCTGCTTCCCGGGGGGAGGGGAGGGGTGTGCGTGAGGCCGGCCTGGCTGGCCCGGGGATGCCCCGCACTCAGAAGGGCCCAGACTCTGGGGCCCAGACGGTCCCACCCATACAGCTGTGACTCACTCCCGACTGCTCCGCGGTTTCAGGCCAGGTGAGGTCACCGTGACCTCCTCAAACCACTAGGAAGAGCTCATTTTTAGTCTCAATTGTTGCTTTAGTCGAGTAAGATAAAGAGTTCTCATACAAATACTTCTTGAAACTTCTCTTATTACAAAAGAAATGGGTATGCGATGTAAAAAAAATCAGTTTAACAAAAGTATGTGACTTGGAAAATGGAAGTCCCTTATACAGTTTTACTCTCTATCAAAATTTTCTATGAACAGCCTGTGTATTTGCCTTCAGCTTTTTTTTTTTTCTGCACACACACATGCATGAGTGTGGGGGAGGGGTGTCTGTGCTGTCTTCTATGCTGACATGTGGTTGTCCAGCTTCTCTTGATTTTTCCATTAAGAGCATTCGACTGGAGGTGTTCTTACCCCACCCCCATACCCCGTAGCCTCCCCCAGCTCAAATTCAGGTTAACTCAGTGACCCCAGACCAGGGTGGGAGGACAGGTAAGGTCCCAGAGACTCAGAATCGTGAGGGTTTTGGGGAAAGATGGTTCAGCATCTGGGGAGAGGGGCCTGGGCTAGAAATCCAGGTTAGCTTGGGGAGAGAAGTGTGCGCCCGGAAAACACACCAGGAGGGGGCAGGGGCCAACCGCACACCCCCCATCTCCTTCCCAGCTCCGCCCACAGGGCAGCCGGCACAGGACAGGCCGCCCAATGGCGAGCAGCTGTTGAGCCGCTGGGACGTCCTGGACGGTTCTGCTGAGTTAGGTGCACAGGCCCGGTCACACCCAGCGTCAGGGCTTGGGAACTGGGCGCCGCGCCAGGGCAGAGCCCTGTGACATCCAGGAGAACAAGGGCAACTTCAAGACAAGCAGCCCCGTGGGTCAGACCCGCTCTTCCCCTTGGCCTGGAGGATGGGCACACGTACCCCCCGCACTCTGCCCGCGGAGCCCCCGCCCAGCCGACGTGCCCACGCTATTTCACGGCCAGTGGTTCAAACTAAGCGCGACAAGAAGAGAAAGTAGCTAGAAGGTGCTGGTCGGGAAACCGGGCTAAAGGTTCAGGATAAGCCTTCCAGGGAGGAGGATCCCCAGCAGCCTCGGCCGCTCCAGAACACACAGTGACGAGCCCTGCACAGGTCTGCACCCTGCACCCCTGGTAACTGGCTGCCTGACCAAGGGCAGTAACTTGTTGCATCTGAATCCCCATTTCCTTGCCAGTTTACTGCAAGCAATACAGAGTAGCTAGCTACAATTAAACGAAATGTATCGAGCACTTAGCACATGCACCAGATAATACATGCAAATGCCACCCACCACCACTACTGTGACTGGGTGAAGACACCCCAAAAAAAGAAATAACTCCCAAGGGCACACAGAAGGCCTCCCCTCTGGGCACAGCCAGGAGCACCCCAGCCACTGTGTAGCCTGTCCCCGGGCCAGGCCTAGCACACAAGGCCAGGTTCGCTAGCCCTGCACAGGGTGCTGGGGGGCAGGGGGCAGGCCAAAGGCTGAGCAATGCAACAATCAGAGCCTCTGTAGTGACCAGGCCTCCGGATGCCTCCATTTCTTGCCTCCCCCAGGCCTAGAGAGGGATCCCACCAGACTGAGACCAGGCAGGAGGCTCCCAGGGCCCCCTGGCTTGATGTAGCCACGGCCTAGGGCTCAGGTCCGAGGGTGGGAGGGGGCTGTGGCCCCTCCTCGTCTCTCACGGACCCCCATCGAGGAGGGCTGCAGCCCTGCTCCTGGGAAGGGCGTGGCTGGCCGCAGGGCGCGGACTCACCCTGGTCGATGGAGTGCTGCGGCAGCTGGCTCAGCTGGCTGTTGACGACCCCCGCGTAGGTGCGCAGGAACTCCTCCTCGCTGGCCGTCAGCTGCAAGGGCGAGAGAGCTGCAGGTGAGGGGCGGACCATCACTTCTGAAGGCACCTGTGGAGGCCTGCTCCATCCCCAAGAGGCGCCTCCTCCTCTGCTCCCTGGAGATTTGACCCCTCGGTCACAGAGCGAGCACCCCTTCCACCCGGGAAACGGCCCACGGGGTCCTTGCCACTCAGAGCAGACCCGAGGCTGGACTCACGGGCAGCACAGGGCTAGCAGGCGGGCGCAGGCCCTGCTGGGGGAAGTGCCCCTGAGCATCCGCTGCCCCTCGGACCCGCCCTGGGAGAGGAGACTCGGCTGGGAGAACAGAAGGGGGGGAGGTCGGGCCTCAGAACTCACCCCCCGCCCCCCCGCCCGGAGGTAGGAAGGCTGTCCCCCCAGTGCCCCTGGGACTCACGTACCGAACTCATACCCTGTGCCCCAGCCACAGAGCCAAAGCGCAGGCTCAGCATCCCCCTCCCTGGCCGCAGCTGCTATGGGCAGCGGCTACAGCCTCTGCTCTGCCCGCACGGGGCACCCTCCCTGGGGGGCTGTGGCTCCGCGCCCCACAGGCACTCACGTTTGACCCCATCTTCCTCAGCATGAGCAGCACCCGGACCTTCTGCTGAATGTACATCTCCTCCGGACTCTTCCCGGGAGCCCCCTCGCGGTTCATCCCCTGGCCAGCTCTGGGATCCTGCGGAGCGAGCAGAGACATGAGCGGGCGTCAGGGCAGCACAAGCCAGATGGAGACACGGGGCTGGGGGGCGGGGGGGGGGGCGCTGCCAGGCAGCCCACCGTGCTGTAGGGTCTCGCTTCCGAGAGCCCAGAGCTGGGGGTGAGGTGCCTGCTTCTCCTCATCCCCTCTCACCCCAACCAGACTGAGCCCTGGACCTACAGCGGGCACCGGCGCCCCCTCTGGGCAAAGAGCTGCCAGGCCCAGGGAGACGGAGCCGACCTGGCCTGCTGGCCGGCTCTACCTTCCGGCCACCCCCACCGCGAGGCTCCTGCGATGGGCCACAAGCAATGTGCTGCACGACCCCCAAGTGTCCCAGATTTTCAAAGCAAGCAACTCTCCCAAGGAGCAGAAGTGGTGTGATCGGTCAGAGGCAGCTGGCCAGGGCCTCTGCTGGAGAAACTGCGAGATCAGCACCCAGCCCCCAAACCCCAAGGCAGCACCCGCAGCCAAAGCCCCTGACGAGTTCAAGAGGCCGGCTCCTGGGCTGGGCTCCAAGGAGTCCCTCGATGGGGACAGGGGGGCCCAGGGCGGTGGGTCCGAGGCACCCGTCCACGCTCCCTGCCGAGCCACCCCCCCCCCAAGGCCCACCCCGTCCGTCAGAGGGTGGCTCCCGCGGCCGAAGCTGTGCCCAGGTGCAGCGGGGACCCCACCTGCAGCAAGGTCCCCGGAGAGAAGTCCCAGGGTTTCCCCTCTGGGAGGAGCCGGTGGAGAGGAAGCCAGGCGTGGAGGGATTTAGATTACATATTTGTAACTCCTGGATGAGTCAGAAATAACGCAGCAGCTGGTGGGGGTGGAGCCTCAGCGGCCCTGGTGCCAAGGAGCTCCGCTCCGAGGACCGAGGGAACTGGGCTGGTGGGCCGAGAATACTCCCCACACCATCCATCCCTCGGGGTCCGGCAAGCCCCGGACCAGCAGGCTCTCCCAGGCGGGGTGGCTGTCCTCGGGGGGGTGGGGGGGTGGGGGTTGGGCAGCTCTCGGTGCAGCCTCAGGAATGCACCAGAACCCCGACCTGTAGCTTCCTTGTTGGACCCCTGTCAACGGCTTGGTCCCCGTAGCCTAACAGAGGCCCTGGCCCTAACAGCCCACACAGTAGGCCAGCAGCCGGCAGGTTGGGGCTTAAGTAGCAGCTCTATGCCTGATGTGACGTGGGCCCTTTTCAGGGCCTTCCCTTCTGCCACCAGAGCCCCAGGCTCCCTGGTCTACCGTCTACCCCTGTTCCCTCCTCCGGGAGCAGAAAAGGGTCTAACTAACGACTGGTACCAGGGCAAGGGCGGGAAGGTGCCTCAAGACTGCTCCTGGACGGGAGGCAGCCCGGACACCCCAGGGCCGGGTGCGCGGAGTGCGGGGGACAGCCTTGACCCCTAGCACAGCTGGGTGGGAAAGCTCGGTTCTGGGGGCTTCGCTCCTCACACTGGCCTCTTCTCGCTGCCCCCCACTTGCCACCCCCACCCCACCAGAAGGATCTCTAAGAAAGGCCAGGACACAGGGCCCCACTCCCTGCTTTGCCTACCCCCTCTCCCCCAGTGCACTGCACAGTCTCTCCAGGACCCCACGAGGCCCGCACGGCCAGCCTGCTCCCCCTCCTCACTCCTCCCCTTGCTGCTCTGCCTTCCTGGCCCTGTCTGTTTCTAGAACATGCCGAGAAGCTCTTTTCCCAGCAGCCTTTGCACCGGGTGTCCTCTGACTCTGGAACTAGATCCTTCTCATCCTTCGTCTCACTCGAAGACGCCTCCCCAGGAAGCCTCTCCAGGCTGCGGCAGCGCGCGGGCACCACCCCCTCGGCCCTTGCCCTCTCGGCCACGCAGCCCTGGCCTGTCCCAGTTTCCTAAAGGCACCGCACTGGAGCGCTGGCTGCTGCCTCTTCCCGGCCTGACCGGGAGGCCGGCCCCACGGGCTGAATGCAGCACCGAGACTATACTCATCCCCACAACACCCACACCTGGTCAGGGCCAAATGTCACCATGCTAAAAGGGACCGAAGGGCCTAACCAGCCTCCGGAACCAGACTGAGCGCCCGAAGGACCCCGGCTCCCAAGTGCTGCGTGCATCTGCGCTGTTGCATTCTCCGGACGGCATCTGAAATGCTCCCTGAGGCCTCCAGACTGGGAGCTAGGGCTTCCAGGAGCAGAACCTTCCCGTTCTGCCCTGTGGCCATTGCTCTCTCCTCCTGACAGTGTGGAAGACAAGTGACCAGCCACTAGGTGTCGCTAGAAACCAAAGAACCAGTGCGCCACTGGCAACCTCCTCCCGTCTGGCTCAGGCCCTCGCCCGCCCCGAAGGTCCCAGAGCAGGATCTAGCCGTTCACCCAGGGGCCCGACTGACTCTCCAGGACGCTGCATGTCCCGGGAGCTGGGAGCCCCTTCCTCGCTGTGCTTCCGGGACAGCCAGGCGTCCTCCAGCGGACGAGCAGGCCCAGAGCCAGCGGGGATGTGTGTGTGCACGCATGCCCATGAGTCATGTCACACGTGGCCTATTTTCCAGAGTTTTGCTCTGTCCAACATCTCACCCCCGGCGCCCCGAACAGATCAGTGTCGTCTATTATCTCCCACCACTGCAGCCTGCCCCCCGGAACCTCCCTCTCTGACACGGTGTTACTAAGTGCAGGGCGAGGGTTGGGGGGGGGGGTGGGGGAGGCTCACAGGGCTTTGTGGGTGCCGGAATGCGTCTCTGGGGCCGGGTCACTCCCGTGTCAGCGCGCTTTTCCCAGCCCCGGCTGGTGCTTATCTGTTTCTTTTTGCTCCGGGGAAGATTCTTGTCATTTCTAAAAAGGGTGATCTCCTAGGGTTCTTCCAGCTCCCACCGGAGCCGATTCCGCCCTGCCTCCCGGCAGAGGGCACACCTGGGGCTGAGGCCAGGCGGGCGCAGGGGCGGGGGCAGGGGCAGGGGCAGGGGCTGGGGCGGGGGCTGGGGCAGCTGTGGCCAGTGAACGCGCCTCTGACCCTCACGCTCCCATCTGGGTGGGCTGGAGCTTCACGGCTGCTTTACAGAATTTCTCCACAGAATTGGCACCAAGGGTGTCAGAAGGGAGAAAATGAACAGTCGAAGAGAATAAATCGTGGTGACCCAAACGACAGGCATTTCGGTCGCTGGTACGCTACGAGGGCGCTCAGGTACATTCGGATTTGCCGCCTGTCTGAGCAAACACGCTGTTAGATTTTCATCACGATCCTGACGAGCACCAGATTACCCTCGTCTGAGAATGCTTACTCTGCCCCGCAGGGATCAAGACCTTGTTGTCTCCATTAAAATGTGTTTAGATGACCTAAGTCCAAACTGCAACTAATTCAAACACACCAACCGTTCATCCTGTCCCCAGCTATTAGGGCCAAAGGTAACGATGCTTCTCAGTGGTGGTCCCCCCGCCAGGCCCATAAAGGTCCCGTCACCCAACGTGGTGGCGTTTCCATTCTAAGTCCAAAGGAAAACCTGTGTTAACGGCCCGAGCCGGAGACAACCTGGCTCCCTCTCTTGAGACATAGCACCCTGGAAGCCAACTAGGGACAGGCACGGATGAGCTGAAGAGCAAGCAGGACGTGGAAAGAAGCAGACAATGATCGACCGTCCGAGTGAGCGGCAGGGGCAGAGGCCTGGGGCTGCACATCGCGCTGCGGGTAAAAGTGCAGGCGATCCCAGGAAATCACGTCTGATTGGGACAAATGCAACGGAGGGAATCCGAGGTACCTGCATTCGCCGCAGACACGCGGGCGTATCCTCCCCCGACCCCCCCACACTCCTGCTGGTTCCCAGCCTGCAGCTCCTGCAGAGCAAGGCGGGCTGGTACTGCACAGTGAGGAGGGGGCCCACAACCCCCGGGACGGATCTGAAGGGGACAAACGGGCCCGTGGCCTGAGAGCCCACACTGCGTTCTCTGGGAGACACCCTGCGCATCTCTGCAGGGGCCTGACCCTACGAGCACGAGCACGACCACTAGGCCCCTCCGGAAGCAGCCGATCTCACCTCGGAAGAACGCGAGGCAGTGCGGAGTGACCACCGGACAAGCAGCCCGCTGAGCGCAGCCGCGGCCCGCACACCCACTCGGACAAACGGCGCCGGGAGCTGGCTTCCCTTGGCCAGGCACGCGGGGCCCTCAGTGCAAACACACACAGCCACCTGCACTCACTTCCACTTACAAAGTGAAGCTAACGCTGTTTGAACACCCACATTCATACAAATCAAAACACACATTTACACGGGGGCAGTCTTGTACCTGCTGGGAAAACGCTGAGTAACCTCAGGCCCGGCTGGGCAGCCGGGGGGGGCCTGCAGCCACACAAGCCACATTTACCCCCCTGGGTCCCAACATGGGTCTTTTGTCTTGTCCATTTTTAAAATGTGATACATTTTAAATGCTCACATTCTGAAACGTGCGTTTGTACAGTGTTTACCCTGCGTACAAATACAACTGTGCTATTCGTAGAACTTCTACAAAGTGTTAATCCGGAGACCGCACACGCCCTGACAGACCAGAAGCGGCCAGCAGGGCCGCTGCCTTCCCCGCGGGAACCCACCCATCTGCGGACGCGAGCTCTATTAGGGGCGAGGGAGACGCACTGACCTCGCCGTCGGCCTGGGAGGCTGTGCCCGAGGCCTCTCCCTGACCCTGCTCTGTGGCCACGTCGCCAGACACCCTTCCCCTGGGGTCCTTACCTGCTCCTGGAAATCAGCTTCAGGCAGACAGGTGCTCAACTGTGACGGGCGGGCTGAGGCCGGGGAGAAATAGGAAGGTGCGGCCCTGTGGAAACACAGAACACGGTCATGGGCGGAGCCAGGAGGCCCGCGGGACTGCCCGAGTCCCACCGGGAGCACACGCCCCGTGCTGACAGGTACAGGAGCGCGGGCCGGGCGCTACGGCAACGGGCTCTGCCGCAGTCCAGAAATACCTGTGTGTCCGGCCGGCCCGGGAAACCTGCACCAACACCTCTGGGGCAAGGTGCTGACTGCAGCTGGGCTCGCCTGTCATTTCCGGCCGAAGCAGGTCACCCGCGCCCCCTCCCCTCGGGTTAGTCACCGAGGCCAATGGAGAGCGGCGCTGGGAGACGGTGCGGAGCGGGGTGAGTCACTCCGCCGGGACAGCGGACGGGCGCGTCCCGCTCCTGCGCCAGCAGGCACGCCCACCAGGCCCGGCAGGAGCCAGGCGCAGGTACCCGGGCGCTCGCTCGCCTCCTCTGTGCTCAGATGTGCACGCAGCCTGTGCTCGGTGCGTGTAAACGTAAACTAACACGCACACGACACAGCTGCAGGTGTTTTACAACCCACCGGCCTGGCCACAAGTCCGCCGGTGCCACACACGCCTCTTCCAGGAATCCGAAGGCTGCCTTCTTGGCTTTTGCCTCCCCCCGCACGACCACAGCACTCAGGACCTCTGCGGGGTGATTTACTGGAAGCATGGACAGAGGGAGGCCCGGGGCGGGAGCACAGGGCAGGCAGGCGTGGGTCCCCGAGGAGACCTGGGCAGACCCGGCTGCTGCCTGATCACCTGCTCGGCCGAGGCGCACAGACCGCGGAGCACCGGGGTTCAAGGTGGCCTCCCAGCCCTCGGCCCCGCCGTGACGGCCGGGGTCCGAGGGTAATCCCCGAGGAGAAACCTGTCTCGAGGGAGGCAGGGGACCGAGGGGAGCTTTGGACCCCTCTGTCTTCCGCAATTTGTGTAAAGAAGGCTGCTGGCTCACCCCAGGGGCCGAGGAAAAAGTGTTTGCCATAGGAAACGAGATTTCAAAAGCCTCCCCTACAGTGGCTCTGGCCTCCGGGCGCCTGCCCTGCGCATCCCCTCTACTAGCGACGGCCTGGGGTAGGTGAGCCAGCAGCCCCACCGCCACCCCTCCCGGCTCAGACTGCCCCCCCCCCCCCGCCATGGGGACAGACGTTCACCGTGATTAACTGCTCTCTTATTCCTCTAGGTGTCAGAGCACCCAAATGCCAAGGACTCCACCCAAAGTCCCCACATTCCTTCAAAAGGAGGTGGAAAGAGACAACTTTCTCCAACTTCCGAGGGGCTTTAACTTCTTTTTTTTTTTTTTAGATTTTATTTATTTATTTTTAGAGAGGGAAGGGAAGGAGAAAGAGAGAGAGAAACATCAATGTGCGGTTGCTGGGGGTCATGGCCTGCAACCCAGGCATGTACCCTGACTGGGAATCGAACCTGCGATGCTCTGGTTCGCAGCCCGTGCTCTATCCACTACGCCAGCCAGGGCGGCTTTAACTTCTTAACCCACCAGAACTGCCAATTAGCCTCCTGCGGTTCACAGGGCTCAGGCCCCGCCCAGGAGCAGAGAGGAACTTCGTTTTCAGGACTTGGAGGGGAAGGAAGCAGGGGGGAAGCAGCAGGAAGGCCTCTGTGAGACCCCGACCTTGACCTCTGAGAAAGGGCAGCCACTGTGGCCCGGTCTGACTTGGGGTGGAGCTGGGCCACCCGCCCCCCCCCCCGACTCGAAAGCTGAGGGGGTGAGCGCAGGAGTGGGGAGACCAGGGAGGAAACCCTGGGAGAAGTGGAGGCAAGAGGAGGGGCACGGGAGGGCGACTCCCAGGTGTGCGGGCTGAGAGGCCGAAGGCGGGCGCTTCTATCAGCCGAGACAGGGAGCCGTGGAGGGAAAAGACCAGGAGTTAAACTTCAGGCAACTGGGAGCCTTCCCATTCATCCCTGAGGCTCAGTCCCTTTGTCTACAGATGTGTGTGTGTGTGTGGGGGGGGGGGCAACCATGGCCTCAAGCGCTGGCTGAAAATGAAACGAGATAGCACTCGAGGAGAGCCCCAGGCTCAGGGCCTGGTGCACAGCGAGCTCTTGAGCTCTCGATAAACACTAGTTACTGTTGCTAGAGGTAAGAGCAGAAGGCAGCACAGACCATACGAGTGAAAGATGTTTTTGTTACAGGATGGGGGTAAAACGGAACAAACAATAAGAATCCAAAGGTTTAAGATAGCCCACCTTGCTTTGCCTTCTCCTCTCCCAGCTCACCCATCGGCTCCCCACTAACTGGGAGGAATAATGAGGGGTGAAGAGCTACTGGGGTGGGGTGGTGGGGGGGCGGGGCACAGGACCTCAGCGCCACGCTTTCCGTACGCTGCCCCGAATCCTGGTTTCTCAGCCTCTGGCACTGCTGACGTTTTGGGCTGGACGCCGGTCTGCGGGGTAGGGTATCTGGCAGCACCCCTGGGCCCTACCTGATACAGTCGTGTTGCGGTCAACACCAGGCCCAGATACGACACAGTCCCATAAGGGTATAACGAAGCTAAAAAATTCCCTATCGTCTGGGGATGCTGTAGCCCTTGTAATCACACAAATACCACGGCGTCACAAATGCCTGCCGTACTCAGAGCAGTGACCTGCTGGCAACAGGTCTGCAGCCTGGGAGCTGCGGGGCGGGGAGGGGGGTGGTGTCTGTCACCCCCAAATCCCTATGTCTGTTTGGCATAAGGGTTATTTCAGGCTGATTCATTTTAAGAAATGGCAAACATGGGAGAAATTCTGGAAGCCAAGTAGAAGTTGAAGTTACTCTTTACAAAATACATTTACAGTTATTTGTGAGGGAAATCTCCATTGGTACCAGGAAGAGGGGATGACCTTCTCTCCGGAAAGTCTTATCCGTGCAGGGGACTTGAACCTGCAGGGCGACCTGAGCCCAGTTTGCTGCGCTCCTCCTGGTCACCTCCACGACTGACACCCCCACTGCCGACACCTTCCTTGGTCTTCAGCTGAAGGTGGTATTGTACGTGGTGGCTCCCACCATTTGATAAGTTACTCAGCTTTCCTAGGTCTCTCCCACGTAGACAGGAAACATACATGTTATTAAATGTGTTTGTTTTCCTTCTTTAAAAAAAAGGATTTTTACTTTTGGAGAGAAGGGAAGGGAGGGAGAAAGGGAGAGAAACATCAATGTGCAAGAGATACATTGATGGGTTGCTTCTCACACGCCCCCTACTGGGGACCCAGCCCACAACCCAGGCATGTGCCCTGACTGGGAATTGAACCAGCGACCCCTCGGTTCACAGGCTGGCGGCCAACCCACTGGACCACACCAGCCAGGGCTTTTTCTTGTTAGTCTGTTTTTTGTTACAGGGATGTCTCAGCCAAGAACCCAGAAGGGTAGAGGGAAAATTGTTTTTCCTCCCCTCCAGGGCAATGGGCTACACCATTTAGCCCTATAGCCCAGGGGGTTAGTAGGCTGGACCATCTAGGTTTGCGTAAGTGCACTCTGATATTTGCGCAATCGGATCTCCCACGGATGCAGACTGCACTCCGTCGTTAAGCAGTGTGTGACGTAGATGCCGGCAGCACCACCTCCCTGGTTGCAACAACTGAGGCTGAAAAGGGGGTTCTAAGGCGCGTAAGCACCCAGGGGGATCTGGTCATAAATTCCTAAATGGACAGGTCACGGCGGGAAGTTATAGCTTCTTCAGTTTGTCTTGGCCTCGAGCGAGCCCTGTCCAGTGTTTCTGTGTGTCTAGGTCACACCCCCCCTCAAGAAAGCGCAGGATCTGGGGACTGTCCTGTACTCCAGTCCCCACCTTGCTTTCTCCCACATGCACGTGCAGCCCTGCTGGCGTTCCCTCCTCAGTTCCAAAAGCGCAAAGTAAACTGCAGACTGTTACTCTCGGAAGCGTTTTTCCCAGGCCGTTGAGCTCTTGCTTCCAGGCGTGTCTCCCTCTGTTTGGCTCAGATACATTTTTATAAAAATTCTCTACAGATTGGGACGTTCTGACACGGACACCACCAAACAAACGTGTCTCCAAGATGTTGTCACGTGTCCCCGAAGAGGCAAAGTCGTTCCTGGTTGTGCCCGCTGCTGTGAAGAAGCAGCTGGCACGTTTTCTAGCTTACTGTTGGCCAGGCCAATGATTCTAGCCTGCGGATTCATGGGAATCCGTTCCGTCTGTGCTACAAGCTTTTCCAGGTGAAGACACAGGGATGCAGAGAGTAACTCGCCTGAGACCACCCAGCTAGTGGGGCCTTCTCCGCGCCTGGCGCGGGAGTCGAACCCGAACCGGCCGAGCTCTTCCCCTGCCCGCCAGCACACAACCGAGCGGACAGAAAGGAGCTCAGAGAGCCCGGGAGAGGGAGGCGAGACTGAGGCCTGACCTGCGGCGCTGGCTGGGAGACCCACTGCGGGCGCCACCTCAGGTCCCCTAGCGGCATCGAAACTGGGGCACCAGAGAGAATCTCCACAAGTTCCGCTCTGAGTAATTAAACTGCAGCCTCCAGGACTCTCGGGCCTCGTGAGCAGCTGCCTTAATTAATAAATTCCACAACTCAGCCTCCTCAGCCCAGAGGCAGGCCCGGCATTCTCGAACCACGCGCCGGCAGCACGAGCAAAGCAGGTCGCAGGTCGCACGCCGGCTCTGTGAGTCAGGGTGTTTGCAGGATGCAGCACCATTCTTGGGGGATGACCTTGGGAAAAAGGCATTTGTCCTGAGGTCGCCAACCCCAGTTCAGACCTGATCCAGAGCTCCTTCCCGCTCTCTGGGGCCAGGCAGTGGTAATCACTGTGGGGGCTGAGCATTCTTTAAGGGCTGGGCACAGCGTCCTCACAACAAGTCTGCAAGGTAAGAACTGTTCCCATTTTAAAGACCAGTAGACCGAGGCTCAGGGAAGGTAAATAACCTCTCCAAGGCCACGGCGCTCACAAGTGACGGAGCCTGTATTCGAATCCACACTCTTGCTCCATCCTGTTAGCCCCTAGGGGCTCAGAAATTCACAGATGCATTAGCCTTTTTAATTGAAATTAAAATGAAAATCCT